TGTGTTAGCTGATCCCACTCGGGTCCGGGGGCTGCGAGGTGCTGGAGGGGGCGCCCCGGCCCCCCGTTCCCGTCCCCCCAAGGGGTGGGTGGTCGCTCGCTGGAGCGAAGTTTCCAACCCTGGATGCCTACGAAAATGACGACGGCTCACCCGCGTGTGTTTTGCTGTCTCCCTTTTTCCTGCTCCCTGTCGCTTTCTCCCACTCCTTACTCCTCCGAAGGCCGAAAAGACAAGCGAAACCTGCTGCAGACGAAGGCTTTTGGGATTGTAGCGTCTGCACCTTCAGAAACAGCGCCGAAGCCTTTAAATGCAGCATCTGCGATGTGAGGAAAGGCACCTCCACCAGGTACTTTAGGATCTGTGTTAGTTACCTTTTGTTAAATGACTGTTTTTTTACCCCTCGAGGTGGGAAGAGGGTTGCGGGCCCTACTTTTCTGCTCTTTCCGACTTGTTGATTAGGCCTTTTTCGGCATTGGGGGGTCGGGGGGTGGGTGGGTGAATGGTGGTTTTCGTGGTTGTGTGTATTTAGTGTTGGGTGCAAAGCCTCGTGTTCACCGAGTGATTTGTGGGAGGGGATTTTTCCAGGTTTTCTTCTTACTCCAAGCAGACCTGGGTTTATTTGACAATTGTATCCATTGGACTTGGAACAAAAGGGGGGAAATCAGTTCTTTAGCTGTGGATTTTGGGAAGATAGACTTATTTTTGCCATATGCAGAATGGTTTTTAATTTGCTTGTCTTGAGTTATTTTCCCCTGTCCCTGAGAGATTTAGTGTAGCGATCCAGTACTCGCTGTGCTTTTCCTGCCTTGAGCTGCGAATGTCTATTTTCTTGCACTTGATAATAAGTTGGGGCTTGATAAATGCTTTTTCCCCTCTTTTTTTTGAGAAGTGAGCTGTCAGCTCCCCCCCCCCCCTTTTTTCCTTGCTTAGCTTACACAGTGGTGATGGGAGGATTTTGTGGAAAAAAAAACGTGAAATGAGTATAGTGGCTCCATTGAAGTTGTGTTACAGCTTTATTGTTCTGAAAAGAATGTTGAACACATTCATTTTCCTTTAGATGAACGTGGTGCGCTGCATCTTGTGTCAGAACCAGTCGGACGACTCCAGATTTAACATTTAGATATACTTGGATAAAATGTCAAGACTGATTTTGTACTCTTTGCTCCCAACTTGTATCCGGAACATGTTTCAGTGGAGCGAGACTCTGAAATGAACTGTTCTTGGTGTCATGTAATAGACAGGCATGGGGTTGGGGATGTGAGAGAAATGAGGGAGTTATAGGAATCTTGAGAGTTGGCTGCCCAAGTCTCATTCTGTCAGGTGCTTGTTTTGGGACTGGTGGACTTCACATGAGGGGTAGTAGGACTCTAAAATTCCAGTGGAATGTCCTTAAAATGAGTGTGCATGTTAAGGTTTCATGACTATTTATACCTGGAGTTAAGCAGGGAATTGGGCAACCTTAAAGAATACCACCCTGGGATTATTGGTTCAATCGCTGGTAGAATTGTGAATTCTCCTTTGAAGTAGTCTGAACTTTGAATAAAAATACCTTTTTGATAGTAGTTTTAAAGTGAATGCGTGTTCTTTTTTGTATGTGTGCTTGTGGAGTAGATGGTTCAGCCTAACTAAATGTTATGAATGATTTGGGGGGGTATTTTTGGCTTGCTATCTGAAATAGGGAATTCCGTCAAATGGCATAAATGTTTAAAAGTAGGTTTGTTGCTTACAACTAGTGGGATTATACATTATTTATAAGAGGGATTTTCTTTTAATATATGTAAATTTGTAGAATCCCTCAGGGGCCAAACCTCTTCATTGTGGTTTTGCTTTGAGTGTTCCTGGAGACTGATGTTCAAGTAAATTGGTTAGGAAACTCCTAAGAACTTGAGGACCCTATTGGTGATGGGCAACTTAAACAAACCCAAAGTTTGTACTTGATTTATTGCTGGGAATAATGACCTCATAATGAAATGTTCAACAGTTTCTGTGTGTCTGAAAATCTAGTTTATTAGTTTCTTAGTAACACGTACACGTGGGAGATTTTGACTTTAAAAACAATGCATTTGTTTTAAAAATTGAACTATACTGTCATCTGTGGCCCTGAAGAAAGTTTTAAATTAAACAAATATATTACCCCATCCAAACCCACTACTGTCAAATGGATTCCTATTTTTGGCAACCTTCTTTGGGCAGAGTCGAATTGCACCCTGTGTGGTTTCCACGACTTTTCAGTCTTTCATTGAGTGGCTGGTGGCTTTGAACCATTGGCTTTTTGGTTAGCCCCAGCAGAGCTACTTTTATAAAATTACAATAACAAATGCTTTAGATTTTATTCAGGGATGGGATACATGTCCGTTATTTTTTAGGCCTTTCCATGTAATTTTTTTGATACCTGGTGTCAAGTAGGATTTGAATAAAAATTTCAGAAGTTTGTCTGAGAACATACAAACTCTTTTAACAGTTTTCATAGTCTCATTTTGTTTTCACCTTGACATTGTCAGTACTTTGGTACTTGCACCTATTTTAGAAATCATTAATTGGCTGTCAATATTTTCATTTTGTCTAAGGCTATGGTGGGTTTCACCAGAAGAGGTGACTGAAGTCTATGGTTCTCACCTTGCCCCATCTGGTGTATTCAATGTTGGCTCATCTCTGTGTTACCACTTACCTGCAGTGTTCTCTTGGCTTTTTTCTTGTCACTTTCTAGTATTTCATGGATTTGATGTGAACTTGATATTTCATAGTCTTACATAATAATCAGAGTTGTTCATGACCAGAGAAAGTGACTTGGTTTGGTGTGGTGTTGGGGTTGCTGGGTAATAGATAAAAGTTAGCGCTTTTTAAACCCATGGACTTTTTAAAGAGGACTTTCACCTTGTTGACTGACATAGAACTTTATTTCATTGTTCTAAGTTGGTGGATGACTTGTATTATAATAAGCCTTAGGAGATGAATTGGCCATTGGTTGGTCATTTTGAGTTTTGCTCATTATTCCTGTTTTTATCACCATTATCTAGCAGTTAACCAAGGTTGAACCTACTGGTAGTTAAGTAGGAGCCAAAATATATTCAATTTTATTAGGAAAATACTGCCATTCATCGGAGGTCCTGCTCAAAGTTTGAAGGTAGCCATGGCATAGATCCAAATGATCTTGTTATAAAGGTGCTAAAAAACCAAACTAAACCAAACTCACTACCATTGAGTTGGTGCTGACTCCTAGTAACTATAGGACAGGGTAGAGTTGCCCCTGTGGGTTTCTGAGACTGTAACTCTTCAAGGTTGTTGAAAGGCTTTCTCCCTCAGCTGCTGGTTAAATTGCCATCCTTTCTGTTAGCAGCCCAAAGTGTAATCACTGTGCCATCAGGGCTGGTAAGGTGGTAAGTGGTTGGAGGTCCCAGTAGACTGGTTCAGGAATCTTTGAATTTCTTCCCTTCCATTTCTTCTGGTCAAGTGGGATTAATTTCTACAAAATCCTTTGCAACTTTTCACTACTATTGCCCTGGACATCAGATATATTTAATTCTACAGCTGGAATTTTGAATGCGGTCTGTGGTTTTTCTTTTTGGATGATGTAGACCTGAAAAAGTCAGAAGCTCCTAAGGACCCTGTTAGGCAATGTAAGAAACCAAACCAAACCAAACCAAACTCACTGCTATCCTGCTGACCCCAACTCACAGTGACTATGTAGGACGGGATGGATCTGTCCCTGTGGGTTTCTGAGACTGTAACATTGTACTAGAGTAGACAAGTCTCATATTTCTCTCTGAGATTTCGAACTGCTGACCCTGTGGTTAACAGCCCAACTGTAACCACTGCACCACCAGGGCTCCATTGAGATATGGTAAGTAGCCTTTTAATAGGCTACTTAGAGTTTTGAAGACCAGTAAAGATCTACACTTCAGTTGTGGTTGAGAAATACACACAGCAGAGTGTGCCAATTCAAAAATCTTTGAACTTTTTCTCCATCTATACCTTCCCACTATACTCCTTCCTGGTTATTAGTATGATTTCATAGCCTTGTTGAGTTTGCTTAAGTTAGAAGTGCTGAGCAGCAGCTAATAATAGCAACTAATAGCATTAGTTCAGTGGCTTTTAGTCATTTTAAAGAGCTTTGGAACCATTAGCAGAACTAAGTTTTAAAGTATTTCTGCTACTTCCAATGGTTACTTCATGCCTTACTATGATATACTTCTTGGGTGTAACATTGGAGCATGGGGGAGTCACTGGAACCTGGTTAGTAATCCAAGATTTCCTCTCCACCACGCTGGTGTGCTTGTGAAAGGAAAGGCCCATGTGTGTACCCATGTGGAAGGCAACAGGTGGGTGGGGAAGAAACACTATCCCTTATTTGGTGGTAGCCAAGTAGTTTGTAATTTCCCAGCCTGCTTTGCCAGCCTTAAGAAAGAAGATGTGAAGTTTAAAAGAAGAGGAAAAATGAGAAAAACAACTCAAAGGTCCAAGAATTGACCTGGTCAGTGTTCTTTGAAGTTGATGTTTTTCAGAGCACAGCGAGCTCCTGGATTTGGTGTTGTTTAGATATACTTCACACGTGGGGCTGTCTTTCTTTGGATGCCTGGATAAACCCGTATTGTAAAATGCAAACTGCTACTCATGCATTATGTTTTTGATAATAGTGCAGCATTTTGTTCTTCAGCTTCCCTTAAGTCATACTTACACTTGAAAACATGGGGAAATTTTTTTTTGCTTTAGGTAATTACAGCAGAACTAGAGGTCTTTTAGTTTTCAGCTCCAGGTTTTTGCAATGTGTTGAGTTGAAT